TTCAACAACAGATTCCAGCGAAAAACAAACAAGACGGAGGGAGAGGGAGCGAAATCTTGTGAATAACGCATGGATCTTACTTAGATCCTGGGAATGTGAACAGGGGCTGGATTTTTGAGGAGGTTAAGAAAATCCCTGCTTGTCAGGTGGGATACTGGCCCTGTGGTTATTCCGTCTGAAACCCACCTCACACCCAGATGTGCCCGGATTCAGGAGAGTCAGCCCCCAGCGCCAGCCCACACGCAGCTGTGGAAGCACAGAATCGGAAGTCAGAGCGGAGAAACCCTTAGAGCAATTGCACACAGTGACTTTATGTCTCCTGGGTCCCCTCGTGAGACAATGGGCTTTCCAAAAAGGAAAGGAGCTGCTGGTCAAGATCCTTGGCTTGCAGCCCCAAAGTGGTCACTACTTGTGGTTTATTTAGCCTCTCTGGATCTGTTTTCTCATCTATAAAATGGGAACAGAGCCACCTCTTTCGTAGGTTTGTTGGGACAGCAAAAGGAAGTAAGAGCTGGAAAAAACCCCCTTCAGAAAATGAAAGGTGCCAAGCCAAAGCACATGGTGACTTTGTCACATTCCCAGTGTGGCCGGGGTCCTGTCCTCGCCCTGCTCCCCGCAGAGCTCCACTCACCCTGCTTCCTCCTCCATCGAGTGCCACCATGGCCAGTAACAATAGCACTGATAATAGATTAATTCGTGTATCCCTGGTCAAAACTAGATCACCAACCCTGCTCTGTGCGCCCAGCGTCTTCGGTAACCCTCCTGAGAGCGCTGTGGGGTGGACTTCAGCACCCCACGGACAGATGGGGCTCTGGGAGAACAGCGATCCCCGACCCCTGTGTCCTGACTGGCTTCGAGGTCGCAGTGTCACACACATGCAAGCTCCAGTGCAGGTGCACAGGGGCCGGGACCTCGCGGGCCTTCCTCCGGGGTAGGCAGGAGTCCCGGTGCCGAGGCGCTCCCAGCCGGGCCCCTCCTCACTGAAGCAGAGCAGATGACCGCCGTGTGGCCCCGCGGGGAACACGGGGGTGCGGGCCTTCTGCGTGGCTTCCCGGCCCCGGCTCAAAGCACACATTACCTTTGACCCTGCAAAGCTCGACCAGCTGGAAACGAGGGGTCAGAGAGCTACCAAGGGCAGAGGTGCTCCCTACGGCCCCACGTCCCAGCGCAGGCGGGCCGCTGGGGCCCTGGGAAGCAGCCCAGAAAACTGCTTGCTCTTCACGAGACAATGAGTCCACTGTTGACGGGCCGGGGCCTTGATTAATATTTGCAAAAGGAACAAAGTGGAAAATTCCATCTGGGCCGAGGCGGGGCACAGGATGTGTCAACAACCTCAACGGCCTTGTTCTCTCAGGGATGGACTAGGCAGAGAAACGAAGGCCTGATAAAGGTGACAGGACCTGAGGCGGTCGCTGCACTTGGGTCCAAAGGAATTTCCTTACTTGGGTTGCAGAGTATTACTTTGGCTGTCTGTCCTGCCTTCCCTGCCCCCAAATTTACACAGCATCTTGAAATCCTTCAACTTTCTTCCTATCTCTTCAGAGTCTCCCAACAGCCCTGCCAGGCCAGCAGGGGAGAAGTCAGCCCCCGGTTATAGACAGGAAAACCGAGGCTCCAAGACACCAAGAGCTTCACCCAAGCCAGCAGCTGGAGAGTAGCACGCCAGGCAAATCCGGCGTCTCGGCCGCCCCCCGCCCCCCGCCCCGGCAGCACAGAGCCTGTCCCAGGGAGTGTGGGTCAGGTGCCCCCAGGGACTGGACAGGGCAGCCCTCCGGGCTCCAGTAGAGGCCCTGACCATCACTCTGCCAGAGGAGGAAGAGGAGAAAGAGGAAGAAGCCCAAAGCGGCTCTCCTGGGCAGGCAGGTTTGTAAGCACCACCTGGTAGGAAGGTGCGCATCATTTGTGCGTTCAAGCATTTAGCGGTGCCCCCGAAATCCCGGCACAGGAAGGCACACTGCGTGGCAGCTCTCTGAGAAACCCAGAACGGGCAGAATTCGTGCCTGAAGGGGACGGGTCAGAGTACCTCCAAAGGTTACTTCCTTCACAGGCTCAAGTTACCTCTGCGAGCTGAGGTCACTTCACTGTCTCCTCTGCCCTGTGGTACAGAAAAGGAACCTGAGGCTCTGACAAGAGCAGTGACTGGCCACACACAGAGAAAGGAAGCGGGGATCACTGGGTATTTAGTGGCCCTGCCCCCAGTTTAGAAAGCCACAGCGTTATTGGGCTTAGGTAGTCAAATAAATGGTGTCCTTTTCAGCAGGGCCCTCAAAGGCTGCATGCTTCATCAACAAGGACCTCTCATGAAGGACACTTTTTGGAATGACCTTCCAAGCCAGTGTGGACCCCCGAGAAGACAGGCGGGCATAGCTTGCTTGCCTGCAGAGAACACCAGCTGTGGCAGGGCCCTCCCGCCACGCCTCACCTTGCAGTCCTGTCTGCAGAGGTGGCCATGGGCATCATCATCATCCGGGAGCCGCAGCACTGTGCCCCCACACCCCCTGCCCAGGGTCCCTCCTTCCATCCCCCCACCACATGCTCCGCGACCTCCACGCCATACTCACCTCTCCCCTTCACCCACCGGCCCCTTCCCCTGTAGAAGGAACCCCCGCCTCTCCTTTTCTTAAAACCAACCCCTCTGACCCCACTCCAGTCTCTGAACCCACTTCCTCCCATGCCCATCTCTCCCCTTCTTGCCAAAACCACCCCTGACTGCCAGTGACGTAAGCCAGGCCAACCCTGACCTCTCTGCCCCATTGATCTGTGGGGGCTGCTTCCTCACCCCTGGGTTTTCTCGCGCCCCCCCCCCACCACATATGTCTGACTCACAAATCCTATCTCCCGGTTTGACCTCTGCATCCCTGCTCGTCCCTGAAACCCTCGCCCTCAGTCCCACACTCCCACAGCAAGGCCTGCTGGGGCACACGGCTATATAAAGCCAGCATAGCTCGGAGCCTGGCCCAGGACACAGGCTCAGCTGTTCACCGAGGGAATGCATATTGGTTAGCAGCTACCTCCCCGCTGGTACCCCCCTGCCCTGCAGAGCCACCCAGGTGGTCTGTATGAGGCTTAAAACTGCCCCCCCCCCACCTAAAAGTCTGCTGTCGTTCCTTGGCACGGCCGGACAAAGTTCACGATCTCCACCTGGCCAACGAGACTGTCTCCATCGGCAACACCACGGCGGGGTGGCCCTTGAACGCACATTCACCTCATTCATCCTTGGCCCGAGAGCGCCCATCAGCCAACACCTGTGTGTCATTCACCTTTGCACCCTAGTACTGGCACCCTGCAGGTGTTTGCTGAGAAGACAGGTAACTATCGGGGCTGGAAATGGTCTCAGGGACCACAGGGCTCAAAGCAATTCAGAGAGGTTGAGTAAGGGGCCCAAGGGTGAGCCAGCCCCAGGCAGGGATGAGCCAACAACCCCACCTGAGCCACTCTTCCTGGTCAGAAACCAGATCACTCCTCTAGAAACATCACCTGGAGCCTCACGTGTACGCAGGCCAGAGCCTCAGGTGACCTTGAGCCTGGGGCCAGTCCATGTAGGCCCAGATCTGAACCACAGGTGAGTCAGGCCTAGCACACAGTAGGACCTCAGCAAAACCAGCTGTTGGACAAAGTCAACCTCTCTCCAGCTGACGACTCCCTCCATAAGTCTCACTGCCCTCTCTAGGCCTTGGTCTCTTCATCTATCTGTCCAATGGCGCTAACTCGGCCTGCAAATTTAAGTGGCCTTGAGTTGGTCACCTTAACCTCGCCCTTTGCAAACAGAGGGGGCTGAAGCAGCGGAGTTCTAAGCTCTGCGATCCACTGTTAGCCCAACTAATTTTTGTTAACCTGTCCTCAAATCACTGTGTCTCAAAGGATGGTTTCAGCAGCCATTGGGCGTCAAAACTACCAGGGGCCGAGCCCAGCCCGGACTGAGGGGTCCCCTCGCAATCTGAGGGCGGGCCCAGGATTTGCATTTAAGGCGGCGCGGAGACGCGGGGGTACAGCGAAACCCGCGCAGCGCGGCTGCGAGCCCACAACAACCCAGGCTTCCGCCTTCGGAGACCCAAGAGTTAGTGTCAGACCTCGTTTTGTGGAAATAAACACACACCAGAGAAAGAGAAACTGGGGGGGGGGGGGGGGGAGGACATACAACTTAGTTCTTGCGAAGAAGTAGCTTCCCCAAAGAACTCGACGAGGCTTCGGCTGCCCGCGACCCCACCCTTGGGTTTCGGGGCGCTGGGCCTTTGCATAAAGTGGGGCTCCAGCCTCGGCGTCCAGCCCGGGTCCTTCCGACTCCCCTACTCCCCGGCCCGAGGCCGCCCGCGGCTCCGGAGACTGCGGCCGGGGGCCGTGCGGGGCGGGGCGGCCGGGGGTCGGGGCGCGGCCCCCCCCCCCCCGGTCCCCCGCTACTCACCCTCGGCGGCTGGGACAGGGGACTGCGGCGGAGCGGGCGGGGCGGGCGGTGGCGGCGGGCGGGGCGGGCGGGGCGGGCGGAGCGGGCGGCGGTGGCCCGGCCCTGGCCCCGCTACCCTCTAACTGGCGGCGCCGGCGCACGGCGCGCTCTCCGCGGCCTGGAGGGGAGCGGCGGCCGGGCGGTTCGGACCCGGTCTGCGCCGGGCCGGCCCGAGGGCGCGTGTGCCGCCGCGCACCTGGCTCACTGCTCGCACGTGTGCGCGGGGCCCGGGGTGCGCTGCGCCCGCTCGTGCTCCACCCGCCAGGTGCCCCGAGGCGCTGCGACCCGGCCCATCCCGACGAGTCCCGGCAGGCCAGGGCGCTCCTACGGTCCCCACCCAGGGAGGGGGCCGCCCTCGGCTCCGGGCGGCGGGGGCTGGGGGCGGCGCTGTGGGAGGCGGGGCCCCCGAGGGGTGGCCCGGGGCGCCGCGATAAGAGCGCGGGCGCGGGGAGGGCTGGCCTGGGGCTCCGCGATGTCGCTAGTGCTGCTGAGCCTGGCCACGCTGTGCTGGGGAGCAGTGTCCCCGGAGTCGGTAAGCCTCCGCCCGCGCCCCTTTCCTGCGTCCCGTCCCTGCAGCCCGGACCCCGACGGCGTCCGCACCCCCTCACCTTGCCTCCAGCTCACGCTCGTTCCCAGAGGGCCGCCTGGAAGGGGCACGTCCGCACCTTCTGGGGGGCCGCCCGACGGGTCTCGGCCAGGCCGCCCCGGGGCTTCAGGGTGCTGGAGTCAGGGGCGTCGTCGGAATCAGACGGACCCCGACTCAAATGCCAGCCTGTGTTCTGGATTCAGTCATTTATGCTGAGGCTCGGTGTCCTCACCTATAAAGGGAAGAGTCATACCCAACTCAGTTGGGTCTAGTGAGGAACAGGGACAGGGCTTGCAAGGCAGCCGCAAGGAGTGTGGCACATAGTAGGTGCTCAATATTGTTATTGCTTGCATTCTTGAAGTCTGCCCAACTTTGGGCACAAGAACTGGATCTCCATTACCGCTTGCCTTTTTTTGCCATGTTGATTCCTCCTGTGCTGGGGTACCATGACCTTGGAGCTGGAATCTGTTGGACTCTGGCGGGTTTCCTTTCTTCCCCATTGCCTTGAAGGATTGAAGGAATCTCAATCCTGGGTCACTAATGAAGAAAAATCTTTCAAAAAGCATTTGCAACTCTGTCTCTGCCCTCTTAGCATAGCATAGAGCATAAAACATGGTGGTTACTTGTTGATGGTTATGGGAAGACAAACCCCATTCATGTGCCCTGATGTCTCCAGCTATTATGCTTGTTGCTTTGCTTCTTCCTGAAATTTGTCTCACCAGCCCTTTGACAAGAACTCAGCTCCTACTATGGTGGCTTGTTTAAAGAAAAAATGTCTGATATTACTTGGAGTTCAGCTGTAAAAAGACAAAGATGAGGGACTTAACAAACCCAGATTACTCAAACCATCAAAAGTCTTGCCTTCTTTCTTACAAGATGTTTGGAAATGTTCAGTCTGAGAGGGATCAGATTGCAGAGCGGTGGCCTTTTGGCCTGTAGGGTCTTGTCACTGGAACTTGGTGCTGCCTGAAAGTTAACTATTTTAGGTCCAGCATTGTATTACAAAATGAAAGTACTAAGTATTTTTTTTTTTCTTAAAAAGACATGAGCCATCACCTCCAAGGGATTTAGTACTATCCTTTCTTGGACACTAATGATACATACCTATTTTTTTAAAAGCTCCTTTAAAAAGATGACACGATGAAATCCCAGTTACAGCTCTGGTGAGTCCTTTTGCATCAGAGGAGGACTATTTTCAAGGCCCCGGGAAGGCACCATGGACTGCATTTATAGCTTTCTTCTGTTGATCTTCTCAGCACAGCTTAGTCCCTAACCTGGGGAGAATCAATAAATACTCTGGATGGTCCTGAGAATCCACAGTTGAACGATAGAGTGTGAAGCGGTCTTCATGATGGTCCAGAGTCACCCCTGCTTACAACAAGGGAAGGGGGCAAGGCACAGAGAGGTGATGAGCAGGCTTGAAGAGCAAGTCTATGACAGTTAATGTCAGGTCCATCACAGCCTACAATGGGCTAGCTTAGTTTCCCCCAAACTGAAGTGGAATCAGCCCAGCTTTTCTCCAAAAGTTTGCCACTCATATATGCATTTTAAGAAAAAGATGGTTTTGGGGTGCCTGGGTGGCTCAGTTGGTTGAGCATCTGCCTTTGGCTCAGGTCATGATCCCAGGGTCCTGGGATCGAGTCCCACATCGGGCTCCTTGCTCAGCGGGGAGCCTGCTTCTCCCTCTGTCTGCCACTCCCCATGCTTGTGCTCTCTCTGTCAAATAAATAAAATCTAAAAAAAAAAGAAAGAAAGAAAGAAAAAGATGGTGTTTTGTCTAATTTGGCAAATGAAGGCTTAGGGTTTGCTAGCATTCAACATGACACTTTGTTTCTCTCTCTCTTGCAGACGATTCAGTGTGGCTCTGAACCCGGTAGGTGTGCTAGGGAATGGGTATTTGGGGCTGGCAGAACAGCTGGACTTTTGGGGGGCCCAAGTCCAGGCAGTGGGTCATTGGAGACAAGGTACAGGGTGAAACATTGCTTTGTTAGCTGCTGTGGATGAAGCGTCTGTCACCTGGTGAGGCAGAGCTCCCAGGTTTCAGATGGGTTCCTGGCCAGTAAGAGGGGCACAGGCAGGACAGGAATGACCCTTCAGGGTGGGAAGTGAAGCCTGACACTTCTCAGAGACCAAGTGCTGTGGTAGGGAGGTCACTTACAGTTGAGAACGGGACACAAATGTTTTAGAGAAGAAGGAGTGTTCGAGATAGTAGCATTTCAAGAATGGGTAGGCTTCTGCCCAAGAAATGTGGATGGAAAGGATGAGCTGGAGGAGAGATGGTGCCGGCAAGGATTAGGAGGTAGGAGGGGCAGTTGTGTGGGCCAGCTGGCTGGAGTGCAGGCTGAAGGGTGAGGAAGGCAGGACTGACCTAATGAGCATGTCAGATACACAGGGACAGGCATGTGGGGGTGGGCCCGAGGGTCCTGTGGGTTGGGGCCAGGAGGCTGAGCATCTCCTCGGCCATAAAGCAGCCAGCACTAAGAAATGTCTGGCCTGGCCTGCCTTAGCAGGAAGAAGAGATGAATTGTGAATGAAGGACTGGTCAGGGTGGGCCACTGAGAGGAAATGGCATTGGACTGGGCCAGGAGGAGAGTGTCCTAGGTAGTTTTGTTTCTTCCCAGGACCGTCTCCAGAGTGGATGGTCCAACACACTCTGACCCCAGGAGACTTGAGGGACCTCCAAGTGGAACCTGTTAAAAGCAATGTTGCCATGGAGGATTATTCCATTTTGATGAATGTCAGCTGGAGACTCCGGGCAGATGGTAAGTTTGAATCAAGCAATAAAGCCTGAAGTGTCTACTAAAGCAGAAAAGTGCAGACTGGCCCATTAACTGCACCCCTGGCATAAACCCAACAATATATACAAAAGTGCACCAAAAGCCTCATACCGTGGTCCCTCCCTATCTGTGGCTTTGCTTTCCATGGTTTCAGTTACCTGCAGGCAACTGCACTCTGGAAGCAGGTGACCCTTCTTCTGACATACCTTCCGCAGGTCAGCAGGAGCCTAACGCTCTATCACCGCGCCTCCCGTCGTTCACCTCACTTCACCTCCTCACGTAGAAGGGTGAGCACAGTACAGTAAGACAGTTTCAGAGAGACCACATTCACATAACTTTTATTACAGTCTATTATTATAATTGTTCTATTATTGTTCATCTCTTGCTGCGCTTGATTTATCCACTTTATCGGAGGTACGTATGAATAGGAAAACACATAGGATATATAAAGTTCAGTACTATCCATGGTTTCAGGCATCCACTGGGGGTCTTGGAACATATCCCCTGCAGATAAGGGGGGACCGCTGTACTAGATTATTCCTAGTACTGTTATTCATAACAGCCCAAAACCGGAATGCATCAAATTCCTGATGACAGTAGAATCGCAAATCCAATCCAGTGCAGCGATGAGCATGAATGATCTGTAACTAAACCCAGTGTGGATGAACCTCACAAACCGAAGAAGCCAGATTCAGGAGTCCACACTCACATCCGAACACAAACCTGAGTGGTTACAAGTCAGGGCAGTGGTAACTCTTGGCTCAGGAGTGACTGACAGGAAGCATGAAGGGCACTCCTAGGCTGTTTCGCGGCCTGGGGACTGGCTACACGAGTGTGACAACTCATCACGTGCTCTACTTACGATCTGTGTACTCGTCTGTATGTTCTTAGATTTCATGGAAGAAAACAGAGTAAGTATTGAGATGATCCCCCTCTCCAAGTTTAGGGCAAGTGCTGACTCAGGTACATTACTTTTCCCTTTCCCACATGGCACCATGAAGGTCCTGGCATCTCCCCACGGCAGCTTGTGAGTCCTTTCCATGAACCAATCCTGGGGGCCTAAAGCCCATGACTCTGCTTTCCACCGGCTCAATTCTGTTAAATTCCACCAAGTCAGGAATCTGGGAGGGCCTGGCGCAGAGAGGTGAGGCAGCTACAGTTTGCCACGCAGGAGGGTTCTTGGGGGCTAGGGGAGGCATGCTCAGCCACAGGGGCACAGGATCCGTGTCCAGGGCATCCGGGAAGGAGCCGGGCTCCATCTTAGTGGGATGGAGGCAGGGGGGAGCAGGAGAGGGCCCTCAGGAGAGCACTGGAATTGGGTGGGGCAGTAAGGCAGTGGCCCCATGCCTCGCAGAGTGAGGCATTGGTTAGCTGTCGTGCTAGGGGGACTGGGCCTTGAAGGAATGTAAGCCTTAGAGAGGCAGGGAATAGGGGAGAGAAGGGGTGGTCAGAACTGGCATGGTTTGGGGATGACACTCTGGGAGGCCTGTTCCCCTTAAATAGTGCAGAGCCAGAGTAGGATCCCTTTGTAGGATCCTGTGAAATTGAGGCTTCCCTGTGAGGAGAAAAGAGCTTGGGCTTTGGGTTAAATCCATATCTGCTGCTGAGGAGCTTTGTAAGCTTGGGCAGAGCCCCCTGAAAGCCCCCAAGCCTCACTCGCCTCCTCTGTACCCAGGGGACCAGGGTGCCTACCTCCTGGGACTGTTGTGAACATGAACTGAGGTGAGTCGTGTAAGCGCTCTAGCATCAAGCTGGTCATGTAGTAGGTGCTAAATAAACGGCTGTCCCCTTGCCTGTCTCTGCAGCCAGCATTCGCTTGCTGAAGGCCACCAAGATCTGCGTGACAGGCAAGAGCAACCTCCAGTCCTACAGCTGCGTGAGGTGCAATTACACGGAAGCCTTCCAGACTCAGACCAGACCATCTGGCAGCAGAGTGAGCACGCTGAGGCCCCTGGCTAACTGTCCTTAGAGCCAGCCCCTTCGCTTGGGGGGAGTGGTGACGTGCTGGACACCCAGGCCGCCGAGCGGCTACAGCTTGGAGCCTGAAGCAGGAGGCCTGGCCACTGCTGGCCTTTGTGCCTGGGGCAAGTCAGCGTCTCTGGGCCTCAGTTTCCCCATCAGCAAAGTGAGGGGAGCTGAACTTAAATTCTATCCTGGCTCTAAAAGCTTACACTTCTCTGATTCTGTGGCTTAATGGCAAATTGTGTGGGCTACGTTCCCTTAGCAGACATTGGCTAGAGACCTCAGTTTCAGCAGTAGATTAAGGAAGGCAATTATAAATAAGAGGGCAGTGCACAAAGGTGCCATGTGTCTGCATTGCAGTGTTTTGGAAATTCAGCGGTTCTTTGCTTTGCCTTTCAGTGGACGTTTTCCTACACAGGCTTTCCTGTAGAGCCAAACACACTATACTTCATCGGGGCCCACAATATCCCCAATGCCAATATGAATGAAGACCCCCCCTCCATGTCTGTGAACTTCACCTCACCAGGTAAACTCCCTCACTCCTCTGGCTGGCTGGGATGCTTGCCGCGGGTTGTGTGGTTTGGTGCAGAGAGGCTGGGGTACTCTGGACAAAGCATCTGGCCCCGCCAAGTCTGGTTTCCTCATCTGTAACACGCAGTAACTATGTCTCCCTCACAGAGTGGGGGAGAGGAGTAAGTCAGATCAAACGTAGGGGACAGCCCATTCCTGTGTCGGACCCGGTGCTGAGCGCCTAACACGCATCCTCTCGCCAAAGATTCCAACAGCCCTGAGGTTGGGAGAGCCCCGTTGCTTAGATGAAGACATGGAGAGCTTAAGTGACTTGCCCTGGGTTACACACACAGCCCAAGAGAAGCTGACATTCCCACTCAGGTCCTTCTTGGTCAGTGACTTCCACCACTCTGTCCTTGATACAAAATGTTTCCTGCACAACATCTGTTCCACTTGGCTAGCAGGCTGTGGTGTTGGGAAGAGCGGCTGGGTCTCGGCCTCCAGTGGGCCCCTGGGCTGTCAGCAAGAGGCAGGGTGGCACCGAGCTGAACGCTGGGTCATTTCCGCTACTGCACAGCCCACAACCAGCCCTCGAGTATCACACCTGCAGTGTCACACACAGGGCTGTCGTGAGCATGAGGCGGAATCATGTGCCGCGTGTGGAGGGTCCAGAATGGTTCCTGGCTGCAGCGGTCCCCATGCCACCCTCACCTAGGCCGGTCATCTCTTCTGTTCTCCAGTCCCGTCCTCTGTCTCTGGCGAAGCATCCAAGACAAATGGGGCAATTTCCGATTCCCTGGTGTTCTTTGAGTTTGCGGTCCAGGGTGTTCCAGCTTTCTCGATGAGACTAAAACCTCATTTTAAAAAATGGAAATGTTTTATTTTGGAATAAGTTTGCCAGGATAATACAAAGAGTTGTGTAGATGTCCAAAGAATTCCCGTAGGGCTCCTCACCCGGGATCCCCCATCTTTAACCTGTTACGTTACCATGGTTGCATTTGTCAAAACTAAGAAACCAACATCGGTACATTTCTATTAATGAAACTCCAGACTTTATTGGGATGTCACCTGCTTTTCCATGAATGCCTGCTTTCTGTTCCGGTCACATTTAGTCCTCGTGTCTCCTGTCTCCTCTGGTCTGTGACAGGCTTCGAGTCTTTCTTTAGTCCTAGTGACCTTTACAATCTGGAAGGCTGGCCAGGCATCCTGCAAAATGTCCCCTAGTCTGGGTCTGTCTGATGTTTGCCTCGTGATTAGCCTGGGGATGTGGGTTTTTGGAGAGATACTGCAGAGGTGGGGTGTCCTTTTCATTGCCTCCTAGCAGGGGTGGGTGACAACCACACGACATCACTGGTATCCGCCAGTCATCTCCATGGCAGATCTACCGACTGTCCATTTCTCTACTCTAGTTTTTGAAGACAAGTGACTAAATCTGCCCCACTCTGGGGTAGGGGTGTGTGTGTGGGGGGGGGTGAGTTAAGCTCCACCTCCTGGGAGGGGCAGTATTTACATATATTATCAAACCTCATTTTCAAAGGTTTGAGTCTTCTGGGGATCACAGTTACTATTCTGATAAAGATTGTATTTAAATCAGACTCTGGCTATCACTTCGTGGGTAATCTGTTTAATAGTCAAATGTTAGCGTCCCATTTAAATTCGCTATCTTACCTCACATCTTGAATGTTCTGGCAATTTGTTACAATTGTGGTAACCCTGTGTTGTGTGTACTTGTTGGCAAGGGAGTGGAGCAGAGATACCGTTTTCTAAAACGTAAAAACTTTCGTTCAAATCTTCAGGCTGCCTAAACCACATAATGAAACACACAAAAAAGTGCATCGAGGCAGGTAAGTAAATATAGCATTCGCTTTTGTTATTAGAAGAAACTGGAGCCCACCCAGCTCAGTCCATCTTCCACGAAGAAACCGAGGCTTAGAGATGCGCAGTGGGCTGACCCCCAGCTGGCCCTGTGCCTGCTGAATCAAGCAGCCTGTCCAGAGAAAGGCCGACTCTGAGTAGCTTTAGGTAGTGAGGAGCAGGCACAGAAAAACACCCACCGCCTTGGTGAAATGATCCTTTCCGGCCTAACTGCACCTATGGTGGTCCATCCTGATGGAAGGCCCTCCTGACTGGAGGGAAATCTGTAAGTCCTTCCACCTGCTCAGACAGCAGTACCACTGACCTCTGGCCACGGGGACCCTGTGAACCTTCTGTTTGGGTTAGCAAACATTCAAGGTGCAAGTGTTAGCTCAAGTCGTGACCTAGAAGCATACTCTCAACCTGTGTCTTCACGGGGGTTCCCCTCTCACAGGCGAGAGACTATTAGAACCTGCCACTACCCTTTGAATTTTGAAATAAGTCCCTTCAGGATAATCAGTTCCAAGTGTCCAATTTCCACGGATTTTACAAGGGCGTGTGTAAATTTCTGGGTAGTAGAGTCTTAGGACGCTAATGAGGCTAGTGGTATAAGAGGGGACCAGTCCCTGTCTTTTAGGGGTACCCTGACCCCACAAAGCATCCCTGTGCACCCTGTCAGACTGAGCTGCATGCAGTCTCCTTGGCGGAAGGCAGACTTGGAGCTTTCTGCTTCCTCTCTTGCCCCCCACCAAGAGAGATCTGGACTTTGGAGGGCACGGTGAGTATGAGGAGCTCTGTGGGCCTGCAATCAGTCCTAGACCCCCACTCCTAAAGATAGTTCTGAGCTCGGCCCTGAAGTGCTCTCCCAGGTAGGGGAAACAATGCACACTGTCATCTCTCATGTTCCTGGAAATTAACCTGGTGCTGATTTGCAAGTCACAACAATCAACTGACTTTTTCCCACAGGGTAGTCCTGTCCGAGTATCTGCTAAGCGATGAGGCATTTCGTTATTTCTTCCCATTCAGTAAAGCCAGCAGAATGGATGGATGGATCTGATGGATGAAGCTCCCAGAACCCAGAATGTTCTGGTAGCTGTAGTCCTGATGCTGAATTCACTTGCTCTATAATCTTGGACATGTCCTGTGGCCCATGGTTCCTCCTCCCCATCCTGGAAAGGAGAAAATGCTGACCCTACCCGTAACTCGGAATGGACGTTGAGAATAGGAGTAGTAGAACCTGACCTGCGCCTCCCATCACCCCCAGCCCAGGGAAGCTATATTATGCAAAGCAGTGACATGGGGCCCCTAAACTTTCTTGGGCAGCAGGTACTTTGAGGTTCTGGGAGCAGTGATTAATAAAAAGTACACTATGCAGTAGAGCCCGTATCTCTTGGATGCACGACTGCCTGAGAACTTAGATTTGTTTTTGTCAAGCCCTCTGGGGGACTTAAATGAGTGACAGTTTGCAACGCCATCCATGTGATTCTCTCTTGACTCAGGAAGTCTGTGGGATCCAAACATCACTGCTTGTGAGAAGAACAAGACAGCAGTAGAAGTGAATTTTACAACCAGCCCCCTTGGAAACAAATACATGGCTCTCATCCGAAGTAACATCGTAATTGGGTTTTCTAACGTGCTGGAGGTACTTCATCCCTTCGTTTCCTAACACAACCCCCCTCTCCCGTGCCATCCTCAACCTCCAGCCTTCCTCACCTTGTTGACGAAAAATGTAGAAGCTCTAGGATGCCCTGGACAGGCTTTCAATGTTAACAGAGCACAGACAGGACTGTCCGTTGTCCAAATGTGCTGGGCTCTTTCGATGCTTTCAACAGAGAGAAACAAGTCCCTGGGAACATCCCTGGAAATGTCCCCGAGAACCTAAAACCAACCAAAAGTAGACATTTCAGAAGTAGGAAATGAATGGTTGTTCACAGTCTAGTGAATTGAGAGTCAGTTTGGGAAGAGCAGTTCCCTCCCTGGCTGTGTTTGTTGTTGGCCTCACTTGTCTGGCTCACGTGTCTTGATTTTTGTCTCACGTAACCTGCACCAGAACAACCCCCCAAGTCGAGCTTCAGTGGTGATCCCCGTTACGGGGGAAAGTGAAGGTGCTGTGGTCCAGGTAAGGCTTAATGAGATGTTTGGGGAGGGCCGGGCATGCAGAGATGGGCTGTGGCGCACTGGTCCTTCCAGCTGCTTCCATGAGGTCCCTCCCTCTCTCTCTCCCTCCAGCAGCATACTCCTGCCTGGCCCTCAGGGACGTCTGCGGGGCATCCCTGCCTTGGGGACTACAGAGGCGAGGGCCAGAGCCGACCTCAGGGTCACAATTCCCTCTGCTCTTATTCGTGGCTGTTGACTTGCCGTTTTTAGTCACAGAGCCTCAGAGTAATCCTGAGACGGGAGTACCATTTAATTTTCCCAACTGCAAAATGAAGCAACAAAGGATTGGAAATCAGAAGGTTTGGGTGGAGGTCAATGTATGAACTTTGAAGGGCAGCCGCCTCCTTTGACTCCGCTGGGAAGCAGGAAGTTGGACCAGTAGATGCTCTCGGGTCTCTTTCAGCTCCGAGTTTATGATGTGGGGACATCGAGGGTCATAGTGGGACACAGCCATGCCCAAGGTCTAAGTAGCTTTTGTTTCTCATCCCCTGGAACATAAAGGCAGTACTCAGAGGGAGCAGATACCTGTCAGCATATTATGATGGCATCCCTTTTCCAGGGAACCAGATTTTCCTAGTCTCCGGGGATGTGTCTGTCAATAGGAGCTCTACTGCTCTGGGTTTTTTTTAGAGGAAATATTTGTATATGTATTAGGAGGTGACCTAACCCTTTTAGATAAGGAAACCAACACGTTAGCAACACGTACAAAGTTTAGGTTCACAATTCAGGAGTCAGATGGTGTTCGGTCTTGGGTCACTGGTTTGGATTTTAGGGCTTTGTTATGGAAGTGTGCCCAAGGGAAAAAAATGTCCTATTACCATGCTGGGGTGGGGGTGCGGTTCAACCCAAAGGGAAAGGGTTTTGGTGAACGTAGGCATTGTGTTGAGGTTTTGCTCTGAAGCATGATGGGAACTTCCTGAGCCTCTTGTTTTTCCCTCAGCTGACTCCGTATTTCCATACTTGTGGCAATGACTGCATCCGACGCAAAGGAACAGTTGTGCTTTGCCCACAATCGGGCATGTCCTTCCCCCTGGACAGTCGTAAGTGCCCAGCCATTTCCGCACGGTCATCAGAGAGGTTCAGGGCCCGAGGGTCCCCACCAGTGCCGCCCCATTCGCTGTGTGCTGGGGGGCGCACCTGTCCCACGGGAGGGTAAGGGGGTCCCTGCTGTGCACATGGGGCCGGGGTGCAGGGGCAGAGGGCAAAGCCGCGCCAGACTGAAGACAAAGGTTCTATGTATGAATTCACGGCAGGATCCTTTATGAAACAGGATACACACAAGAAGGGGGGTAATAAACAGTGCAAAAATGGATGTGCAGGGTGCCACAGGGATGGGCCAGAAAGTCAGGGGCCTTAGGGGACCAAGTACGGACGGGAAGGGGCATTTCATGGCACTCTGGTTTTCTGACCAGTCTCCATGGCCCTGGCCGAACTGTGACTGTAGTTTGGTGTGGTCACACAGCCAACATTTGGATAACAAATTAGAACTATGAGCCCCAAAAGACACGCCTCACTTATGCCTGAGAGCAACTTGTTTGGGGAAAATTGTCTCTCTGCATTAGAGATGTCAGTTCTCTTGTTGCAGACAAATAAAATGTTCCCAGGACTAGCCTGGGGTGGAGTCAAAAGTTAGAAAGTGTTATTCTTAGAAACTCAGCAGAACAAACTGAGAACCCAGGTGCCGGGCAATCCTGACTTCTGTGTGGGCACAGTGCCTATGGGTTCCTGAGCTTACCTGACCGACATGGCCTGTGGGGGGCAGCACTACCCCCCATATTTGTCAGTCTAACAAAACAGCCTTTAAAAATGGCATCTGCGTGTACTATGTATTAAGTAATCATGCCCACAATAACATCAGTTCATCAAAGAACAAAAAAAAACCCTGACCGTCAACTCTGGTTACCATGGTGAAAATGCCTGCACGTATGTGCAGTAAGAAGCCAAAGTGATTTGGGGGGAACTTTCTTAACCTCCTGGGTCCCATATCCCCTTTGAGCATCTAATGATAATGGCCTGCACACTCTGTGGAAAATTGCACCCATCTGCAGATCCCCTAGAGGTATACTGCCCCTAGGTTTTATAGGAACCTAAACTTCTACAAAGTACAGAGTGAAAATCTTGGCTTCCAAATAGGAGGTACATTTGGTTTTGTGTTGCTGAAGGCAAATAAACTTTGTTTTCTCCAGGCAGAGGCATGCTGGGTGGCTGGCTTCCTCTTCTCCTCTCAGCTCTGCTGGTGGCCACATGGGTGCTGGCCATTGGGATCTATCTAATGTGGAGGCACGGTAAGTGTGAGAATTCCGTTCTTGAAAGACACCCGAATGAGGAAAAAACACTTCGAGGTTTTTTGTTTTTTTTTTTTTTTTAAGACGAATCCTCTAGAGGCAGTCACATTTTGGTGTTAGGACAAAAGTCAGGTAGCACTGATGTAGTGCCGTAGAGCTCTCCAAAAATACTGGTAACAATGACTGGGCCACATCTGCCAAGGCAAAGCAGGGATGGGGACCTCCCAATCTGGTGACTACCACCGGTGTCATTTTTACCGAGGCATCTACAAGGACTGCAGTGGGCAAAAGACAGCTAATAATGAATTGCGTTTTGCCTCTAACAGGTACTCTAAGCTAGTTCCTACTTTTTAAAAATAAATCTTCCATGGCGTAAGAACAACACTCACTTGAATTCATATACCCTAGGGACCTTGCCAACTCTAAAGCATCAAGGATTTGAATGCAGTAATCAGAGTAGACAGATACACTGAAAACCTCTGCTTCTCCTCTTCTCCGTCACTTGTGATGTTGTGGACAGTACACAATTAATCTCAGAACCTCAGTAAGAAAGCCATGTGGAACTCTGACCTTGGGAATACTTCAGTTTGGGGGGATATGGTTTGGCCTGTTATTTGTTCCAGTACTTTCGTATGTAGTTTCTGTTGTGGAGCAGTTCCAGCTGAAATGGGGTACCAGTTAACCTTACGCAACTACAAAGAAATTTTACCACCTGCAGATAGAAGATGGTCCAATTACTGAGTTGACCCAACTCAAAACGTGATGTGAAGGAAAGGTCAGGTGGTCCTGTTTGTACAGGACACTGAGAATAGTACAATTACAACCACCCACCTAAAAAAGTACCTCAAGAACCTAAACCGCCTCTATGAATTTACTTGAAAAGATATGGCTGAAGAGGACCTATTTAGTGGTAAGAACTTGGAAAATACATCTCTTAAAGCATCTTTAAGGATTAAACATCAGTGTGTTTCAGGTGATACGTTTAAAACGAACATCGGGGACAGTTTCCTTTCTGGCAGCAACGTCCCTCGTGCTCAGCCAACACTCCCTAGCAAGGGAACATTTATTAATGGTGGTTCAGACCAGAGTGAAAACCTGCTGTTTGCTGTTCACAGACAACAAATGCTTTCTCTCCCCACAGAAAGGACCAGGAAGACTTCCTTCCCTACTACCACGCTCCTGCCCCCCATTAAGGTTCTTGTGGTCTACCCTTCTGAAATTTGTTTCCGTCACACAGTTTGTTACTTCACTGAATTTCTTCAAAACCACTGCAGAAGTGAGGTTATCCTTGAAAAGTGGCAGAAAAAGAAAATAGCTGAGATGGGTCCAGTGCAATGGCTTACCACTCAGAAGAAAGCTGTGGATAAAGTCATCTTCCTTCTTTCCAATGACATCAACCCCAGGTGTGATGGCACCTGTGGCAGGAGTGAGGGCAGCCCCCATGAGAATTCCCAAGACCTGTTCCCCCTGGCCTTCAACCTCTTCTGTAGCGATCTGAGAAGCCAGACTCCCCTTCACAAATACATGGTGGTCTATTTTAGAGAGGTGGATACCAAAGATGAATACAGCGCGCTCAGTGTCTGCCCCAAGTACCACCTCATGAAGGATGCTCCTGCTTTCTGTACAGAACTTCTCCGTGTCAAGCAGCAGGTATCAGCAGGAAAGAGGCTGACGGCCTGTTCCCTGTAGCCTACCCATGAGAAGTGAGGGGCCTTGAAGCCTTCCTACTCCTCCAATTACAGGGGGAAAGTATCTCAGATGATTCTGAAGTTTCCTGTATGGGCTATCTGTAGGGAGATTTTATATACACCTGCTTTATTTAGCAATAGGAATAGGGAGGATTCCTAACTGAATACATACGCCTTAGTTTAAGCAAAACTTTTATGCCAAAAAAAAAAAAAACCTGTTACAAATACTACTAACTACTGTGGCATTAACTGAAGGACAGAAACTAAATTTACAATTATAAAGCTAAATCAACTTCATACCTAGAAGTCCAGGAGAATTGTAATGCAGAACTATAACCAGTCTGATAACACAATGATAAAGCATCCTCCGGCCGAACATCCAGTCCTGAATAGCCCATGCACTGCACAGTAAATAGAACTGTTTATTTCTCTGACACTCTAAACTTAGTGAATACCAAATTTAAGAAAGCCTTTGCTCATTCACTAACTTCATGGGTGAAAAACCCTCTATTACATACAAAAGCCATTTGTAAGAAAACAGAAGAGTAAGAAGCCAAACTCCTTTGCTGACCAGATGACACAGTATACGTGTAGCCACTTATATTATCCAGCACTTGCAGAGGACCTTCCTGCTCTGAACTAGATTCAGGTCCTATCCGAGTCTTGTACAGGTGACTTTTAATACGGACACCAACATCCATTACCTGCAGACCTGATGTCTACTTTGGCCCAAAGTTACCTATTAGAAGTTACTGTCAAGAGTTCAGAGTTTCTTGGTTATTATGTGACTTCTCATGTTCAAAACACAAATAATTCCTGCTCTGTTCAAAGTCAGCCCTCTTGAAGGAATCTTTTTATAATCTTGAATTATAATGGTTTACTTAAAAAAAAAGTACCAGAGAGCTAGATATGTATGGTATTTTAAGTCTTCCGACTTTTTCCTCTAAAAGTATCTTTTTCTTAATGCAGAGGTTACCAAGAGGCCATTTATATTAATGTGCAATCTTTCTAGGAATGCTTGTCTCTCTCACACAGTACGATACTGAATCTGCCTAGAGTGTGGATCAGTTTCCACTGGATGCCTGTTAAAATATATTTGTGAAGGGCTAAAATTATCCTTAAAGGGCCAGGTCTTATGGATAAAATAAAAATCAAAATAAGGAAGCACAGAGTGAAAACTCACCATGTCTAACTTCACAAGTAGACACTTAGTAATGGCTGAGGCAGTATGTTTAATGTGGTCAAGCTCACTTACTTGTCATGACCAGTTTTTACCACACTTAAAAGTGCTGGTAACGGAAGGACACGGCTTATGTCAAAAATTGGACCGGAAACCAACTTCCTCTGAATCAACATCTACCAGTTATAAGAGCAATAGGTTATTATGTAAAAAAAAAAAAAGATATACAAAAACACATTTTGCTTTTGGAACTAGGTAGCCATTAATAAATTGTGTTGAAACAGCTCAGAAACATAAAATCAACATTGTATAAATTTATTTTGTTGAAAAGTTAAAAAAATAAAGAGCATACAATCTTCAAATTGAAGGCACATGTCTTCAACAGTACCAACAAGGTAAAATCACTGTTACACCGATGGGCTCTTTGTTCCTCACCTCTGATCACCTATGTAGGATACTCCTTGTTATGCAAATGTTCCAGGACCAGCATTTCTCCATGCCCTGAGACTTCTAACCATCCTAGTCTTTCTATATTCCATTCTTACCTCCATCTCTTATCCAGCCCTACTTTTGTCAGCCCCCCGCCCCTCCGCTAGTCCCATTCCACTCCCACATCTCCAGTTCTGGATGAGCAGATGGTGGACGGAGATGCCCAGCACAAGTGGCAGGAATCAGGCATTTCCCATGCTCCCATGTCTCTTGAGCCCCCAGGCTGTGCTCACTGACCAGCTTCTGTCTCCAGACAATGCCTTCTCCTCCTCTGGCCAGGGGCTCAGAAGGCTTCACCAAGGCCTGGACCACTGGTGCTAATAGCTGTCTGTACTTAAGATTTTGCTTCAGACTGTTCACAGATTAAGGTCAAATGATCTTACCGAGCACAAAGAGTTCCAAAACCCTTCTCTTGGTTCTTCAGATAAAGGAAATTTGGGGACTTGATGATTAAATTGGTAGTAATAAGGTGACCAGCAGTCCCCTTATTCATCTGCACAACACAAGTTAACAACTATAAATTACCTGAATTGTTTCTACTCGGCTTTAGGAAGGAAATGGGTTTTCCTTTTCAGTTGTTGTTTTGGTCAGATAAGGATTGTTGTCTTTCCCTAAGCCCACCCTGAAGCACATCATCCGAGTAACAAAAGCCAGCCAGCCCAGCCTTAAATCTTTGCCTTTGGATATCTAGAGCTCAACTGGTCACAGGCTTTTTTGTAATCCAACAGAAAAGGAAAAAAAGAAACTTTTCTCTCCCTATTTGGAATTCTAAGAGCACCCCTGAGTCGAAACAATGTGTGCCTGCTGTAACACAAATGGCCTGGCCAGTTCTCAGGATTCAGGTACCTGAGCCAGACACCCACCCCTGGTGGCTGTGATTATCTGATGACACTGAGGTCAACTTAAGCCAAGGCATGCACACGGGAGCCACTCAACAGCAACATTTCACATCATCAGGGAGCTGCTGCGACCCTGAGAAAGGGGCAGGAGCATTTACCACTGAAAAGTAAGTTCATATTTATTCGTAAATGTCCTGGCTACAAAAGCAGCTTATAATTTCACACCAATGTCCTATTGTCAACGTAAAAGTTAAAATTCATTTATTTTCCATGAAACTTAAGCATCTAAGTCAATAAATTAAAATATATATATATTCTTTAAGAGTCTTTTATATACCAGGAGGCCTGTTTTTGGTCTGTAATAGTGACTTTCTGCCCATTTTCACCAGACAAAAGCAGCTCGCTCTCGTAACATGCGGACACCAAAGCGCTGCCATTCTCTCTGATAAATCCACAGTTCCTGTGTGGTGTCCAAACAAGCCAACACGGCCCCTCCTTTCCATGCAATCAGCCGGGGATCCATGTCCTAGGGAAGTGATAAAGGTATTTCAGCAAAAGTGGACAAGACATATACTTAATCATTTCCTTGAATTTGGGGGTAAAAAAACCCTGCTGAATCAATACCTAAAAAGCCAAATTTTTCAACGTGCATTAAAGACTCATCCATACAGGACCCATGAACTACAGACATCTTTCTGTTCCAACCGATAAGAAAACTTTAGTGTTTATTACTGAAAATGCTACTATTCACTATTATTCCACAAACAGGCCCCATATGCAGGAACATACATATAAGGAAATCATTATTCTGAAGTTAGAGTGGAATAAATATATCCCATAACCCCTTCCTCAGAATTAAAATTAAGTAAGAACATCCCCCGGAATTGTTCATGGGATATAATGAAATACAGACACAATCTTTTTCTAAATTCCAGGGTTAATGTTTCTTTCCAAGATAGTTCAAGCCAAAAGATGCCCTGGTCTGGGGCCAGCAAGAGATCCTTAATATGACAACGAAAACTGGAGTTGTTGTGGCCGATGGGAGACCAGCCAGTCTCTCCCTGCCCCACCTAGTCCTTTTCCAAAGGCCTGACTTTTGGGAAGCTGGTCATGCTAGTCTGGAGAGCACAGCAGGGACTGACACCCAGGACTCCAGGCCCCTAGCCCAAAGCTCCTTGCACCAAATCTGTGACCTACTGAAATTTTTCCACTTGCCCAAACCCTTAATTAAGAGCTGCCCAGACACAAGCTCATGGCTCCCAGGACTTTATCTGTCCACATACAACATTACAATTAGAAATAATCAGTCCTGGTTTCATTTGCATATAATCAAACTGCACCATGAACAACAGACCTTGGGCCTTGTGATCACATCCACATTCTCAATAATTCGCCTAAATGAAGGTGGCATTTTGTTGAGAATTCTGTGCTGCAGAAATTCTTGAGCTTTATGAAACATCAAACCACCTCCCACCACGAGGATGGAACTGTACATCTTCTTTTTGGTATCATCAGACGCTGAAAAGACAATGATAATCCTTCAACTCTTTTTCTCCATACCCACCACCACCCTGGGCCAAGCCACTGCCATCTGTTTGAACTGTAAGAGCCTCCTCAAAGATTTCTCTCCAACCCATCCTCAACAATGCAGACAGAAGAATCTTCCAAACACCAATGTGAACATGTTGCTATTGCACCCTCCATTCTGTTACTTGCAGGATTAGGACCAAAATCTCTACAGGGACCTACAAAGTTCAGTGTGATGTGTACACACTGCTTCTCTAGCTTCATCCTGGCCCCTGGCCCCCCAGCCACACTGGCCTCCACAAAGGCCTCTTCCTCTGCCCAGAATGCTACCCTGTCTGTGACAGGCTAACCCCCACTCACCTCCTACATCTCTCTTAAGTGGCTCTTCCCTAAGAAAGTCTTCCCTGCCAAGCCTCCCACCCTCCACACTTCTTCCTCCTAATAAAAACCCCTTATTAAATCCATCAGAAGCTCTGAAAGTCAGTATACTTTAGTTTGTCTTCGCAGCACCTGCCATAGTTGTGATTTCCCATTTGTGTGACAATTTAACTTCTTTGGTCTCCTCTAGTATGCTATATGCCCAACGAAGCCAAGAACCAATTCCTAATACCGGACAATGCAAGCACAAAGCAGGGGCTCCACAGTTCTTCAATGCATGTGCTATGCTGCACAACCAGACTCTAGCTTGAACCCATTCACCTAACCAGCTTCCGAAACATGCTTACAACAGCAGTCGATGCTGTGAAGAATGGCTTTATCCAGGCCCAGGGCTTTCCCTTCAAACAGAGAGATGGCAGTCTTCCTGGACATCAGTGCGGTGAGAGCCTCCTCAGATTCATTGCCAGCCATCAGACAGTCTCCCTGGGAGGATCCCAAATCCACCTCCTGGGCATGGAGTCTTTCTGGAAGATCAGAAGACTGGCCACGAAGATCCCCTTCAAATCCAATGGGTTTGGATGCAGACTTTCGGTCAGCAGTAGCTTTGGCAGACTTTAAATCAATCAAAAGGACAATCAAGTGGATGGCAGGACTAGAACAGAACAGTGTTGATGTTCTCCAGCTAAAACCCACCCGTCCCTACTGCACTGTTTTACACTACTACAAAGCAAAGGTCCATCACTGTGGTGCAGAGGGAATGCATGCTAGCATACAGCCAACCACCTGGACCCACTCCCAGAT